GTGTTATTTAATCCTGTCTAGCCTCAGTTTTCCCCTCCTCAAAATTGAAATAAATTATGCCAAGTGTTCATTTTTCCCTCCAGATCCACTCTTCACTTTTCTCCACCTGCTTTGTGCCAAGGAGGCTGAGCCTTTATGGATTGCCTCAATGAGTTTCCTTGCCCTCTGGTTCCCACGGGGACTGGCCCATGGGAAGCACTCACAGGTGATCAGAAGTGGCAGGAGAGTGAACTTGGACATTTATGCCTATAGTTTTTTCCCTACAGCACTGTGGTTTGGCATTAGTAGCTATGTGTCTCTTCTGAAAACCGCAACTATTAGATGGCCTTCTCTTGATAGCAGTAGGTTTCCCCAGGGTACTTCAACATTATTTTTTGATTTTCTTAGCGCTTGCCACACATATATAAATTGATCTTTCGTTACATTCTCCTCAGTTACACGTTTGATTCTTCTTTTCCTTCTGAGACCATGATTGATACTCAGAATTAATGGGATTGCTTTGGGTACTTAGTGAAATACTATGAGGTTGGACATTGCTGAATATAACTACTGTCATCAGATGGCCCAGGGGGGTGACCATAGTGATCTTCAGCAATAAGATATGTAGCACTTTACCCAGGATGAGTTCATAAACTTAATTGTCAGACCTTGTAGATATAAACTGCTTAATATATAATCTGGCACAGATTAAGCACTCAATAAACTTAAGTTCCATGACTGTCATTATTCCCTGCTTCCTTTCACTTCTGTATTTCATGTTTGTTAGTATCTTTGTTTCATATAATTTTCAAAGGGCTGGTTGATTTGTTGAACTATTTTATGGCTGAAAATTATCAAAGCATACCTAAGCTTAATTTTCTAGTCATTCTCATAAACTTTTAAACAAAATAGAGGCTATTAATTTTTTTCCCCAAAGATATATTTTTCTAGCCCCAATACAGTGTTCCCGGCAATTGACTTGTGAACCTGGAAATCTAAGAGGAAGAATACTTGAGCTAAGGGTATATGGGTGAGATCTGGGAAAGTGGGCTGGGAAGCTAGTAATGGAGCTTAAGGACTTAGTGCTATAGAACTCCCAAGTTTTAGCTGCTAATACTTAGCAGTATTACTAGGTTCCTAATTATAACAGGGCCTTATTATGACTCCAGTGTGTACCAGGTGTTTGACCAGCTATGATACCCTTGCAGTTGAAGCCTCCAAGTTTCTAAAGACTGGTCTCTCCTTTTTAAAAAATAGAAAATCTAGTAGGCTTCATTGGATGTTTTGGAGAATTTATTCAGGTTCAGGGAAAATAACAGTTTTCCTTGATAATGAGTTCTGGTTCTCTGCTCTTAACCTCCATATTCTTTTTTTGTTTTTTATTGTTTGGGATTCATTGAGAATACAAAGAATTAGGTTACACTGATTGTATTTGTTAAAGTCCCTCTTACAATTGTGCCCTAACTGCAAGAGGTGTGCTTACACCGTGAGTCCCCATCTCCTTCCCTCCTCCCCTCCCCCCGACTACCTCATTCCCCTACTCCCCCTTGTATTAGCTCATCTAATATTAGAATAGAGTACATTGAATTCTTGCTTCTCCATTCTGGTGATGCTTTACTAAGAATAATGTGTTCCACTTCCATCCAGTTTAATACAAAAGATGTAAAGTCTCTATCTTTTTTAAATGGCTGAATATATTCCATGGTATACATACACCAGAGCTTGTTAATCCATTCCTGGGCATTTAGGTTGTTTCCAAATTTTGGCAATTGCAAATTGAGCTGTGATAAACAGTCTAGTGCAAATGTCCAAATAAAAGGAGGATTTTTTTTTTCCTCCTGGGTAGATGCCTAGTAATGGGATTGTAGGATTAAGCGGAAGGTCTAATTTGAGTTTTTCGAGGGTTCTCCATACTTCCTTCCAAAAAGGTTGTATTAGTTTGCAGTCCCATCAACAGTGAAAAAGTGTTCCCTTCTCTCCACATCCATACCAGCATCTGCAGTTTTGAGACTTTGTGATGTGGGCCATTCTCTCTGGAGTTAGGTGATATCTCAGAGTAGTTTTGATTTGCATCTCTCTGATGCTTAGGGATGATGAGCATTTTTTCATATGTTAGCCATTTTTCTGTCTTCTTTAGAGAAGATTCTATTGCCCAGTGATATATGGGATTGTTTGCTCATTTTTTGTTGATTAATTTGAGTTCTCTGTAGATCCTAGTTATCGCTTTTGTCCAAATCAAAATATGCAAATATCCTTTCCCAATGTGTAGGTTATTTGCTTTGGTTGTTGTTTCCTTAGCTGCACAGAAGCTTTTCAGTTTAATTAAGTCCCATTTGTTTATTTTTGTTGTTGTTGCAATTGCCACAGAAGTCTTCTTCATAAAATCTTTCCCCAGGCCAAAATCTTCAAGTGTTTCCCCCACACTTTCTTCAAGGATTTTTATTGTTTTATGCCTTAGATTTAAATCTTTTATCCATCTTGAATCAATTTTTGTAAGTGATGAGAGGTGTGGGTCTAGTTTCAGTCTTTTACATGTGGTTATCCAGTTTTCTCAACACCATTTATTGAATAGGGATTCTTTTCCCTAGTGTATGTTCTTGTTTGGTTTATCAAAGATCAGGTGGCTATAAGATGGTAGTTTCATCTCCTTGTTTTCTATTTGGTTCTAAATGTCAATGTCTCTATTTTTGTGCCAATACCATGCTGTTTGGATCACTATGGCTATGTAGTATAGCCAAAAGTTTGGTAGAGTGATACCCTGATTTTGTTTTTGTTACTAAGAATTGCCTTGGCTATATGGTTTTTTTTCTGCTTCCATACAAAATGAAGAATTATTTTTTCCAAATCTTGAAAGTATGGTGATGGTATTTTAATGGGGATTGCATTGAATTTGTCAATTTCTTTGGGAAGTACAGGCATTTTGACAATGTTGATTCTTCCCAGCCATGAGCATGATATGTTCTTCCATTTGCTAATATCTTCTGTTACTTCTTTTCTTAAGGTTTTGTAATTTTCTTTGTAGAAGTCCTTCACCTCTTTTGTTATGTATATTCCTAGGTATTTCATTTCTTTTGAAGCTACTGTGAAGGTAATTATGTTGGTGATTAGCTTCTCATCTTGGCTGTTATTGGCATATGCAAAGACTACTGATGTGTGGACATTAATTTTATGTCATGAGAAATTGCTATATTTTTTGGTCACTTCCAGGAGTCTTGTGGTTGAGTCTTTGAGGTTGTCTAAGTTAAGATCATATCACCGGCAGGCAAAGAATGAGAGTTTGACCTCCTCTGCCTCCATTTAGATACCCTTTATTTCCTTCTCTTGCCTAATTGTATTGGCTAGAAATTCCAGCACTATATTGAATAGTAGCAGCAATAGAGGACAACCTTGTGGTTGATAGAGTGGAAAAGCTTTCAGTTTTGCTCCATTCAGTATAATACTAGCTGAGGTTTGTTGTAGATGGCTTCAGTCAGATTGAGAAATGTGCCATCTACGTCTATATTCTTAAGTGTTCTAATTAGAAAAGGATGATGATTTTATTGAATGCTTTTTCTGCATCTATTGAGAGGATCATCTGGTCTTTGTTTTTGCTTCTGTTGATATGGTGAATTATGTTTATGGATTTCTATATGTTAAACCAGCCTTGCATCTCTGGGATGAAACCTACCTGATTGTGATGAATGGTTTTTTCAGTGTGTAGCTGTAATCTATTGGCTAGGATTTTATTGAGAATTTTTGCATCTATATTCACTAGTGAAATTGGTCTGAAGTTCTCCTTTTTAGTTGGGTCTTTTCCTGGTTGTGGTATCAGGGTGATGTTTGCTTCATAGAATGGGTTGGGAAAGATTCCTTCTTTCTCAATTTTTGGGGATAATTTCTGCAGTATGGGTAAAAGCTCTTCTTTGAAGTTTTGATAGAATTCTGGTGTGAAGCCATCTGGACCAGGACATTTTCTTGTTAGGAGATTTTTTATTGTTTCTTCAATCTCCGTTCTTGAAATCAGTCTGTTCAAGGGATCTATTTCTTCTTGGTTAAATCTAGAGAGATTGCAGGTATTGATCCATTTCTTCTGCATTGTCAAATTTCTGGGCATAGAGTTTCTTGTAGTACTCAGGGATGATTTCTTGTACCTCTGTGGAATGTGTTGGTATTTCCTCTTTATCATTTCTGATTCAGGTAATTAGAGATTTCACTTTTCTGATTCTAGTTAATCAATTTTACTTATTTTTTTAAAAAACTAACTTTTTGTTAATTTTCTGAATGATTCTTTTGTTTTCAATTTCACTAATCTCTGATTTAATTTTGGTTATTTCTTTTCTTCTGGGTTTAGGATTACATTTTTCTTCAGCTTTCATATCCTTTATCCTCTAGAGTTTTGTATGAAGAAAATATTGAATCCTTTATATCTATTTTTGTTCCCAAGATGTTCTAGGTGCTACCCAAGATGCGTCTGCTATTAGTTTGAGTATATCTTATAATTTTCAGATGCCCCCCCTCCAATATAGTAATAATTTCTTGACAATTCACCAAATTATACTCTGGGATAGTGGATAATAATGATGATGATGATGATGATGACAATATTTGAAGTCCTCATGATCTGCAAAGTGATTGTTACAAATATTTTCTTAGGGAATTTAAATTATACCAACCTGAAAAGGATACATAAGAAAATATATAGTAGGTAAAATTAGTATTTAATTGAATGCAGCACTTTATATGTCATTTAAAAATTTATTTATTTTCCAACAATACACAGTAATTGACATTTTTATATATTTATGATGAAATAGTTGATAGCTGTGAGATATTATTTTTTAATGTCAATTGTAGTCTACAATTAAAATCACAATGTACTTCAATCAAAGTATGTTTTCATTTATTTATTTTTAAATTTCAGATTAATATGAGGTTGCAAACAATTAGGTTTGTTTATGTTTGTTAGGTAAAGTCTCAGTAATATAGCTGACCATTTCTGGTGATTAATTCATTTTTCTTATATATGGCTTCTATTTTTCCAGATTTGGATATCAGAAACACATGAACAAATGTCACAAGTTCATGTAAACAAAGAATTGGCAACAATGAAGAAGGAAGCCTTATTAAATGAGGAAACAATGAGCTCTGGGATTATTGAAAGGTATTCTTCATACTTTCTTTTGCTTATAGAACATGCAGAGGCAGGAAAAGATTTGTGTAAGCAGCAAAGAGGTATAGTGACTCTAGCTACACATAATAGGAACACATCAAACACTCCTTTCTCAAACATCCTTGCTATTCCTTTTATTTGGAATTATCTTTATTTCAGTCATTTACTGATCAACACTATACTTATTCTGGGTCTAGGTAAAAGGTCACTTCCTCTTTATACCTTTTTTTCTGGGCCACATTTCTGACTACCTAGGTTTAGACCCCAGCTCCATAATTTACTTGTGAAAGTTAATCTGGTATTCACAATCCAGTTTGCTCACCTGTAAAGTGGGAATTATAAAAGTATCTACTTCATAGTGTAGATAAAATTTAGATGAAATAAAGTATGAAATGTACATAGAAATATTGCCTGACATTCAGTAAACTTTCATTAAGCAGAATTAACTGCTCTTGCATCTTTGCCCTCTGAGTATTTCATGTCCTGCACAACGGTATAACATTTGGACTTGAATTCTAGTTATTTATATGTATGTGTTTGGTCAGATACAGTGTTCTTTTAGGTTAGGAATTGCTTCTTCTTCTTCTTCTGCAGTGCAGAGTGCAGGGGCATGATTATAGCTCACTGTAGCTTCAAAGTCCTGGGCTCAAGTGATCTTCCTTCCTCAGCTTCCAGAGTAAATGTGATTATGGGCATGAACCACCGTGCCCAGCTCTTTTTTTGTTTGTTTTTGGTAGAGTTGGGATCATGAGATCTCTCTCTGTTTCCCAGGCTCATCTCAAATTCTTGCCCTCAAGAGGTCATTCCCTCACCTCAGCCTTCAAAGAGCAAAGATTACAGGAGTGAGCCACCACCCCTGACAGGAATTGTTTCTTAATCATAGCTATAGTCCTGCAACCTGGCATAATGCCTCTCTATGACATAGCTTTTGTCTTGTTTATACTGTAATTATTGAAAAACATGTAGTTAAGGTAATAACAAAAATGCTTGAATTTCCATTCACTTGTTGGGACATTTTATTTTGCAAAGTACATAAAAGTTGCACACATGAAAAAATTTTAAAAATAATAATCATAAAAATTCAGCCCCCTATGTTTTTTTGCATGGCTTTGAAAGTTATTTGTGGCAGCCTAACATGTTTTCTAAAAGTTGTTATCTTGTTCCAGGGACGTTGGATCACCTGCCACAGGCTTTGGAGCTCTCTTTACGAGACATCCACCAGATCGGAACAAAATGTTAGTAGTCCCCAAACTGCTGCAGATTGTACAAAATGTTTCTTGATTCAAAATGTTTTTCTGCAGGGGTGAAGATATGAGGATTGTGTCAAGGTCAACAAAATGCCCTTTATAAGGCTTTATGTTTTTCTTTAACATAAGATTTTTTTCATTAGTATGCATAACATTTATAATACTAATAATGCTGATTCTCATTATTGCAGACTCTATAATTGATAATTTTTCTACTTGTCAAAATTTGTGTATTTATACCTTACTCATCCAATACTCATGGTTCTGTAGTGGTTATTCATGGAGTGCCATGTTTTTCCAACTTTTATGCCTTTTGTTGGTGATTTTATTGTTTAAAACATCCCCAAAGCATCATTCTGAAGTGCTGTTGTGTTCCTAAGAGCAAAGGCTGTGAGGTGCCTTTCAGAGAAAACACATGTGTTAGATAAGCTTTATTCAGGCATGAGTTGTAGTGTTGTTGGTAGTGAATTCAAGGTTAGTGATAAAAAATATATATATTAAATAGGGCTTCTTTAAAGAGAAATACATATAAAATAAGGTTATATATTGATGAACTGGTGAAAATGTTGTGACCAGAAGCTTTCAGCAACCTAACCCCATATTTCCCCTAAAAGCAACAGTTCAATATTGGCTAATTTAGTGCTCATAGAGCATTATTGTAAGCAATGAGAATTGACTGAACAGAAAGAGACTATTATCTTTACTAATAAAAGAAATACATTTATTTTAGGGCAGCACGAATTCTTGCTACAAAGGGGAAAAAATTTTTTTATCCACTCATCTTTCTAAAGAAGACAAACTTTCATAATGCATAGATAGGTGATGTGCAAACATTCAATTCTAAGTATTGGATTGTGCGTTATGAGGTTGTCGTGAAAACGTCTGTAAAATACCTAGAGCAGTAACTGATTCATCCAGGGTTGGACAATTAAAGTATGCAAACTGGCCCTAGAAAAAGTGCTACAGACCTCATTGCTGAATATCACTACAGCCACCTTCAAAGTACTCCCCTCGGCCATCTGGTGGCTGTAGTGATACTCAGCAATGAGGTATGTAGCACTTGGTCTAGGACGAGTTCTCAAACTTGTTAGACCTGGTGCAATGACAGCTCTAATGGACATTCCAGAAAAAGAGTTTCAAAACTGCTCTGAAGGGTGGACTAGGCGCTGGCTTCAGTGCATAGCTTCCCAAGGGGAGTACTTTGAAGGTGACTTTAGTGATATTCAGGAATGAGGTATGTAGCACTTTTTCTAGGATAAGTTCAAGAACTTAATTGCCTGGCCTTGTATGTAATAAGTGCTCTGCTGAACACTTGGTGAATCCTTTCAATTTACAAATTCCTCTTTAGGGGAATTGTCTTGGTTTATTTCACTCCTATGCTTCTAGGCTACAAACTTATACAGCATGTTATTATACTGAATACTGTAGGCAGTTGTACCATAATGGCAGTATTTGTGTATCTAAATATATCTAAAAATAGAGAAGGTAAAGTAAAAATACAATATAAAAGATAAAAAATGATATACTTATATAGACCATGTACCAGGAATGAAGCTTTCAGGACTGGAAGTTGCTCTGGGTGGGTCAGTGAGTGAGAGATGAGAGAATGGGAAGGCCTGGGACATTAATGTTTACAGGTGAAAACTTTATAAGCACTGAGCACTTGGGGTACGTTATATTTATGATTTTTCTTTTTTTAATAATAAAGTAGCCTTATCTTATTATACCTTTTTTACTTTATAAACTTTAATTTTTTAAAAAGCTTTTTTACTTTTTTATAACAACACAGCTTATAACAGAAACACATTGTACAGCTGTGCAAAAATATTTCATATCATTCTTTTTATTTTTTATTTTTTTTGAGACAGATACCCTGGGTGCCAGGGCATCACAGCTCACAGCAACCTCTAACTCTTAGGCTTAAGCAATTTTCTTGCCTCAGCCTCCCAAGTAGCTGGGACTATAGGTGCCTGCCACAACACCCACCTATTTTTTTTGTTGTAGTTGTCATTGCTGTTTTGGCAGGCTCGGGCTGGGTTCGAACCCACCAGCACAGATGTATGTGGCTGGCACCCTCGCCGCTGAGCTATAGGCGCCAAGCCTTACGTCATTATTCTATAAGCTTTTATCTATTTTTAAAATTTTTATTTTTTACTTTTAGAACATTTTTTGTTAAAATCTAAGACACAAATACCCACATTAGCCTAGGCCTACACAAGGCCTAGGACAGGATCATCGATGTCACGTCTTCCACCTCCATTTCTTATCTCACTGGAAGGTCTTCAGGGACAGTCACATGCACAGAGCTGTCATCTCCCATGGTAAAAATGTCGTCTTCTAGAATATCTCCTGAAAGACCTGCCTGCGGCTGTTTTACAATTAACTATTCATTTTATAAGTAGAAGAAATATGCCCAAAATAACAATAAAAGCATAGGCTAGAAAATACATAAATCATAGTCATTTATTATCATTTTCTAGTATCACGTACTGTACATAATGATAGAAGCTCTCTACTTTTGTACAGTGACAGCACAGTAGGTTTATTTCCACCAACATCACCACTAACAGGTGACTAATGCCTTGTGCTATGATGTGACAATAACCACAACATCACTAGACAATAAAAATATGTCAGCTCTATTATAACTTTTTTTTTTTTTTTTTTTGAGATGGAGCCTCAAGCTATCCCCCTGGGTAGAGTTCCATGGCATCATGCTCACAGCAACCTCCGACTCCTGGGCTCAAGCAAGTCTCCTGCCTCAGCCTCCCAAGTAGCTGGGACTACAGGCGCCCGACACAACGCCTGGCCATTTTTTGGTTGCAGCCATCATTGTTGTTTGGCGGGCCCGGGCTGGGAATTCGAACCCGCCACCTTAGGTGTATGTGGCTGGTGCCTTAGCCGTTTGAGCCACAGGCGCCGAGCCTATTATAACTTTTTTGAGAGCGGATCTTGTTTTGTTGCCTGGGCATTAGGGCAATTGTGTGATCATACTTCACTGCAGCCTCACGCTCCTGGCCTTAAGTGATCCTCCTGCCTCAGCCTCCCAAGGTGCTAGGATTATAGGCATGAGCCACTGCACCTAGCCTCTGTTTTAAACTTATGGGACCTCCCTAGTACATACAGTCCAATCTGTTGTTGACTGAAACGTTATTATATGACAGGAGTGTGTTTTAGTCTTTAATCCCAGAGGAGAGTCCCAAGTCTCCCATCTGAAGGATGAAGGGCTGGTGCCTGTATTCTTAGAGTGAGCGAGCAAGGCATTTGGGCTGGGATGTCACTCTTAATCCTTCATGGTGTATGGTCACTGAATTGTGTTGATCAAGGATTTTTCTCTTTTGCTTTTTCTGGTGAACCAACTTCTAGCTTTCCTGCTGGCTAGGGAAGGAGCAGGAACTCTGCAGTGGGGACCAGGGGAGTACCTCTGGAACTCAACTGCTTTTCAGGTAGCTCTTCCTCTAGGCCTTTGGTGATTTAGGATTCAGCTTTCTGCTAAGTCAGAGCCCTTGTCCTTTTTATCTTGAGCTTCCAAGATTTGTTTCTCTTGTCTTTTTTCCCATTTTCCCTGCCATTGTGAGTCTTAAAAAGTTTCTTTAATGAGGTTTTGATGGAGCTTTCTCTGAGGAAGCAAGGTTTGATGTGTACGTTCAGTTTTAACTCTGACATCATCTGGGCTCATCTGATTCACCTCCTCCTCCAGAGGACCTTCCTATGCCCGCTGCCATCGCCCTTCCTGTGCCCTGGTTAGGTCCCTGGAGGGTGTCCATGGCACTGTGTCCTTCCTTTATCCCAATGCTATTCATCTTTGTTGCAGTTACTTACATTCCTGTATTTCTTGCTAAATTCAATGCTTTGAAGGGCAAGAGTGTCCCAGCTCTGTCCCCAGTGCTTAACAAAGAGCCTGACCTACAGCAGATGCATGATAAATATACCTGGAATGAATAGATTAATCATTTCTGATGTTGAATAGCAAATTATAATACAAGAGGGTATGGCCAATTCCTATCTCACTGGATTGTGAGGTTTGATGTCTTTAGAACCAAAAGTTATTCTCAGTTCTATTTTGGCAAATGCATTCAAAGACGAGCTCTTTTAAAAAATCAGCCTTTATTAGTTTGAATTGCTAGAATTACTCATTTGTTTTATTTGACTCAGACTATTAGCAAGGAAATAAATACATGAACACCTCCAGCCGTCCTCCACTAATTCCATATGTAATTCTTTCTTTCAGTTAATATACACTAATTATAGGATGTTCCATACAAGAGAAGGCTATGGTGTTTTAAAATCTGCTCTCTTGAATATTAAATATTCTTTTGCTTCTTGCCAACTCTACAGCTGTGAAAGTTAAATGTCAACTTTAAAAGGCAATGAATAAGAATGAGTTTGTTCAATGGACCAAAATAATGTGCTTCAATTTATAAAAGAAAAGCTGTAATCATAATGTAAATTTAAGCTTCAGGTTATTTCTTAAAGAAAAAAAAAACCCAGAATAATAAAGGTATAGCTTTTGTATTAAGGAGACATTAGTCTTAATTTTTAGATATTGACCATTGTGCTGCCATGGTATTTGATCATTTGTTCCTTTTTCTCATAACTCAGCCTATGCTCCACCTGCTTTATTTTGGGTTAACATAAAGAAGACACAATATCTCCTCCATAAATTGGTAAAAAATATCTCGTAAAACATATTGAAAATCAGAACAAATAGAATGTTTGGTAAGTTGAGTGGGACTTGTCACTCTTGAGCTAAAGGGCTCTATGAATAATTCCTTCCACATATGTCACAGACTGAGATAGATGAAAAATATAATACAGGGAGCAGTTACAACCTAACTGATACTGAAATTCATATCAGAAACTTAAGCCTTAACAATGAGATTAATAGGCTTTGAGGCTAGATTGGGCTTGTTTAGAATGAAACTAATTTCTTTTCTTTCTTTCTTTCTTTTTTTTTAAACAAAGCTTCACTCTTTTGCTCTTGGTAG